TGCTGAAGAATTTGTACAAATACAAGATAAGATAGAGAATAAAAATAGATCATGCAAATTATAATAGGGGATACATCTTGCGTACATGTACATGTATATATCAGTCATTCTAAAGATAAGAGATAAGCATCTTCAAGCTCAGAGATGTGGTTTGGATGAAAGCAAGCTAGGGTTCACATTTCAAACAGTGGATGATGAGCCATGTACTCCACAAACCCAGCCTGGTCTTAACATAGCCTCTCACCATAATGAGAAAGTATCAAGAACTAAACTCATCAATTAAATTCAAATACAGATAAAAGTAAACATCCAAATTGAAAGAAAACATGGATTCTTTTGGAGTATGCATCTATTTTTTTCCTTGAGGCCTCTTCCAAAATAGAAAGTATCCTCTTTCAGTATTTTCCTAACCATGTTGGCGACTTAATTTAGAGCAAAGTATACCGGTAGTCGAAGAATACTGCTTTCCACCTTGTTTCTTACAGTGCATACCTATTATCTCGTGTACAAGCACTTGTTTTGAACATTAATAACACCAAAATAGCTCTGTAGCCTTGGGCAAGATGTATCTATTTATAAGCAGTCTCCTGTAACCATATACAAGCTCTACATTCTATAGCAAATCATTCAATACTTCTATTTAATAACAACATTCATATTAATTTGCCTTAAGTGTGTAATTTTTCAGTTGGAGCATAGACCCACTATTCATGGAATAGTCATATATTTTTGCCAATTCTCAGTTTCTAGATATTGGAAATCACTACATGTTTATTGATATTTCAATCAAACAAGGAACAAAAAAGTACAAAAAGATGGGAAGTAATGAAATAATCATATAAAGCTTGATGGAAGGGGTAGTTGCATGAAGCTGTCTCTAGAAGAGCCAATGATATGCATATTCAAGTAATATTGACTGCCTAGCTTCAGGGCAATATTTCACCCAAACTAAAGGTGAGGGTGAAATAGGCAAGTCGTATTGACTTGAAGGCAGTCAATATTACTATTATTAACCACATCAGACATCTAGAGCAAACAAGAAACTCTTTATCTTACTCTTAAATTATGTAAAATACAGTAGCCTACACTGCACAGGGTTTCCTAGCATGAAAAGTTGCAAAAACATTGTCAAACCAGCAGTGCTTGACAACATTTTTGATACACTGCAAACAGTGTGCCTTGGGTCGGGTGTGATTATTACGTCACAATAGAGTGTGCGCAAAGTGCACATTTTCTTCGCACATATCATACGCATAATCAATGTGCAATGAAGCTGGCTGGCTCTACATATTATTTCCCGCTAGTCCAACACGCATTTTGCCATTGACTTTTTTGATAGGGCAATATATTTTGTTCATTGGTTTACTGTGTATTAATATGTTGTTGGTCATAGGCATGCAATGGGTTAAAAAAGTTGTATTAAAGATAAAGGTGTGTTCTGGTCATCCGATTGCATTGTGAAAGAAAAGGTGTGGAATGGATCAGAAAAAGTTGATCATGTAGCATGTAAGTATTGGCGTGCACTGCAAAGTTCTGGAGTCATCAAAATCATAATAAATTTGGCCCAGTCATGGTAAAGTATTACGCACTGTACTGTACACAGAAAGATGTATAATCTAAAGGCTCATTCACATGATGTGGTAAACGTACGTGGCAAGTTTTCTTTTCTTTTCATGTTTTAGTGAATGGAAAGTGTGGATAAAAACAGATAGCTGTATGCAACAAAGGTCCTACATATACTGGTACATAGTGATCTGTGATTAACATACAGAAACGTGAGGTGCATTACAGAGAGAGTTTACAGCGGCATATAAAAACAATGTTTAAAGCTTATCTTGAGCTCTGGTACGGGAATCGTATTTTAAGAGAAAATTGCTATGATTTATTCTGGATTGCTTATCCTGCAGTAGATTGGTTGTTTGAACCAGTGAAATAAAAACGAATGCACAAAATCTTGCTGGGCTTCATTTTCGATAAAAAAAACCACAACTCCCATTTACACATATATTAAGTGACCTGTGTTGAACACATGGTGTCGGGCGTACTTACCTTGATTTCCTTATCTTTCTATGCTCATTGCTCAGCCACTATACATTTTCTGCCATAACTGTTTGGCACATATGTCTTTAAAAAAAATCTTGAACATCCATGCAGTTTAATTTTTGTTGGATTCTGTGAGAATTAATTTTTACATTTACTGGAACTCAAGTTTATCTTCAAGGTAGATTTTATTTTATTCCCCTGACAAATCCTGAACTCATCCCATACAGACTAGCTACATACACAGTGCAATCACTGACAAAAACAATACACTTGATCAAGTACTTCTCTAGCTACCATTAACTTTCTAGAAGTGCTCACTTAAAACCATCAATGGTAGTCACGTGAGCGCACATGACCTTGTGTTGTGAGATTGATTACAAATCACTTCTACGTACAGTAATGCTATCAATCTATTACTCAGATCATAGTTTGCATCAACATGGCCCAATCATTTCCAAAAAGAAATTTGAAGGAAAAAAAATGTGCTTATTTCATGAACATTGTAATTGTATAAGCCTATTGTATCCTGTATGAGATTGTATTAGATGAATGTACATCGTTGATCAATCATGCTATTCTTCACTGAATCCTACTGAATACACTAGGAGTAGAAGAGAATCTATTTCTTACATCAAGAAAAATGTTCATAGGAACAAACAAATGCCGCCCCCCCCCTTCCTACAAAAGTAAATGTACATGACTAATATAGTGTTCAGCTACAAAAGGGTTCAGCTACAATTTCTATCAATTTTAACGGTATTGTTCAATGCAGTATGAATTTTCTTTCTTTTTTATTGTTCACAGGATCTCTTGTTTGCATTTTGGGGCTTTTATTTTTCATTTTCTAACTTTGGAAGAGAGAAACATCTCCTCATGTAAAGTTGCATAGGTCACATGGAGTATTTGGTTATGAGATGTGATGAAGCACCAGTCTACAAACATATCCCATCACTCACTCATCTAGGATCTAGTTCATGATGCTATCTTTAGCATGCAACACATTCCTAGGCAGAGTTATCCATACCGAAAGTGAAGAGCGTGGAACATGATACATCTCACATTATGTTACCACATATGACATTGACATGTCACCCCCTCCCCACACCCCCCCCCCCCCTCCAAACCATGACACAGTATTTTGAAAGACAAAACACTTCTCAATAGCAAAGGCTATCAAGTATCATTCAGATAGTTCTTACTTCATAGAGACAGAGTTTTGGCAAACATAAAAGTACATTTTACTGAACTATAATGTTCATGTACATGTAGGTACGGGGTAGACATGCAGAGTAGTTAGGAGAAAAAATTACAAGAAGGGCTATCTCATTGTCATTCTCCCATTTTCAACACAAGAGGGCACATGTCATGTTCATCACTGAACATCGATAAAGCATACTTGACAAAATGTGTGTTGTGTAATTGAGGCTTCAGGCTGGAAAGCAGATAAGAGCAGCTGAAGAGGGAGATGAGAGACAGAGAAGGGAAGATTGGAGAGAAAACATACAGGAAGAGATAGATAGAGAGAGAGAGAGAGAGAGAGAGAGAGAGAGAGAGAGAGAGCATGAGACAAGAGGGAAGAAAGAGGAACCGATGAATTCATGAGGAAAGAGGAGAGAGAAGAGGTGAGTGGTGAAATGGATAGGTAAAAGAGAGAAAAGGAGTGAGGGAGTGATATAAAATCTAAATAGTTTCACTGTTTAACATCCATATGAGATCATTTTCAAAACTATTTTTTTGTTAGAACAATTTTTCTTTATTTCCTTCTGAACTTGTATGTAGTGAGAGCCCCACCCTATCCAAATTAATAGAGCATTGCACTTTGACCTGCTGGTGTGTTCAGGGTGGTCCACAAAAGGTTCAAACAAGTTACAGAGAAGGATTTGAATTTTGATAGAACCGGTTTAAAAATCAGCAAAAAGTTAATATTAAATATTTATTAAATATTATTAATAAAGTGTGTTTGAAATGCAGCATTATATGTCCCAGATTGCACCAGAGTGAATCTAGGAACCTTAGAGACCTTAAGCAAGCTCTTGAGCCTGGCCAAAAGCAGACTTTGGGCTTTGCATACATTAAACCGTACGCCTTCTATGTTCCGATTGACCGGGAATGAAATATGCTAATTGCAATCCTCGCAATCGATATCACGGGATGAGCGGTGAATCAATGACAACTTTGTATCTGTAAGAGTTATCTAAAGCTATGGTCACAACTCATTTGTAGCCTGCTCGGTCGCTGCTGGAATTAAGGCATCGCCCAACGATTTTTGGAGAAGTCGAGCAGGCTGTATATAGAGCCCCAGCGATGCCTGGGCGGTGCCCTGTCGATTTCCTGTCGGTTGCCGATCAATTTTAGGTAAAAACTGGGCGAAACTGCACGACGTCCCGGGAGTGACCGACTGATGACCCACCGATTCCCAATCTCCCAACGGCCACCGGCTGATTTTAAAGAAATTGCCCGGCGGTCGGCCGGTGATCGGCGGGGCATCTGCGGGTGTCTCAAAAATGATGCCTCAGTCATAGAGCGAGTTTACAAACAGAACAAAACAGAAGCAATTTTACAAATTCAAGTTTGATTGTAATCCATTGACAAGCTATTTTTCAGATACATGTATGGCCCTTAGAACTTTGACTTCATGACCCCATAATCTAATCACTTCATTGGCTTTGCAAGATACATACATGACCCAAGTTTGGCGGGAATCCATCAATTGGTTCTTGAGATAACGCGATCACGAGATCTCGGGACGTAAGGGCGGACGTACAGATGGACAAACGGATAACCCGAAAACATAATGCCTCCAGCTTTGCAGCGGAGACATACATGTAACAAACATACAATATTAAATTTAAAGCCCAAAAGAAATCACTGTCTTACTAAAGTGTTAAGTGATGTTTCTAGCTTGGCTAAGAACTGTGAAGTGCTATTCTTTGATTGTAACATTGAAATGAACTCACCCATAGTTTATAGCTATCTGAGAGATGCTAACTGAATAGTCTGTGATGAACCACCTAATGCAAACAGTCTTCCTCCATCAGTGCTATCCAAAGCTTGCACTGTCTTCCCCTTGTAGTCAACTACTCCAATTATCTAGAAAAGGGAAAAAACATTTCGTTTTAAATACTTGATGCATATCATTAGGATGAACTGATATTAAACAGAGTCAAACAAATAATATGTCTTACTACTGTTGTTACAATGATGAACCGTGTTCAATGCCACGTAAAGCTTACAGTTTATGTCTAGTTCATTACCTGGAGAGTACCTATTGATATTGTGTATTTAATATCATTCTACACATGATTTAAACCAATTGTGAAGAGAACATAAGTTTACAAAAAGAAGTTATATTAAAGGTTTCAGTGTTAAGTGATTCTAGGTATGAGGATGCAATATTATGCTTGGAAATCACTTTACAATCTCACTCCACTATTTAAGTTTTCACTCAGAGCCGCAAATATGTGTGGGTTCCTTATTTAAGTGGGACACCAAAAATGTCACAAAGTGGGTCCCTAATTTATGAAATTACCCAATTACAAAACTGAGCTGTTTACTTACATCAAAGGTTTCCGTCTGTACTGCCTGTACATTCATAGTCCCACTGCCTCCAGCTAACACTGTATTGTTATCACAGAACTGCGCACAGTATAGAAAGTCTCCTTCCTTGTGGTCAGTGTCCAGGTCTAGTGTTCGGTCAAGATGACCACTAGAGAAGTCCCAGATCTGAAGAGCATGATTTTGAACCCATGAGGCGGTCAAGATCTTACCATCCTAAGGTTGATAGAAATAAAGAAACAAGATAAAGAAATGTAATACCTATGAGTACCTCTACGACTGATTAAGATAATTCCTACCCTTCAAGTGATGCACCCGCAGAATGAATTTGGTGATCCTAACTGAACAACACACGAAGTTACAGAGAGTACAGGACATAGAGAGATGGACAGACGTCAGTTCCTAGGTTACCTATTCCAGTGATGGAGGGCAAATTCATACCATCTATTATCCGAATTTAAGACTTTGTTTCCACCTTTCACCTCGATGTCTTATCTGATGCCACAGATGAGATGAGAATTAGAATTTAGTCCATTCTTTACCTGAAAGTCTAAACCTCTGCCCGAGATTTGGGAAGTGTTCTCTTTTACATTACTAATTGACATTTAAAAAAAAAAAAAAAAAAAAAAAAACACAACTAAAAATCAGTCCAAGTAATTGGTTAAAGTCTACACAAAGCTGCCTGTGGGTAGGAAATTCACATTCAGCGAATTTCAGAGACACCTATGCAGGCATTAATGATAAGTGTTTGTTATGACACTTAACATCATTTGATGTGACATAAAAAAAACACAGTTTCCATTACAGTCCTAGGTTTTTATCTGCAAGTTTAATCTACCACAAGAGTTATAAGATTTGATATTGATTGTTACCTGAATGTCTAGTCCACTGCCACAGATATGAGGTCCAGAGATAGTACGTTCAACCCCATGTTCAGTTCTCGTATCCCATACCTATTTGATCAATAATAATAACAATTGGTATAGTAAACAAATACACTTTTCATTTATTGCATTGTTTATAACAAGCAATGCAGAAAACATGTAGAGCAGTACTTCATGTTCTCTAGGGATCAGTCTTTAAAGCTCAACAAGAACAAAAATAAAAACAGCAGCAGTCTTTCAGGTTGAATCACAGTTACTAAATCGGAAATACAAAGATAAAAGCGTTTCCATCTGTATAGTGCATCATGTATTTAAGTATGTAATCTTGTAAATAAAGAGATTTGGATAAAAGAAAAATGCAGAAGAAAAATTGACACCATCAAAAATCAATATGAGATATAATTGACTATTAAAATACTGTATAGACTGTACATACCATGCAAATAATGTCAATGGTTATTACCTTCAGACAGTTATCCCAGCCTCCTGTCACAAAGATATGGTTATCATCCGGATGAAACTTAAGAGCAAACACTCTCTGACCATGACCTGCCTCTAGCAGATCATTTCTCAATGGAACCAAAGCGTTGGACCCTTGGTACAGATGAACAAGCTAAAACAAAATAACACAACAACTCAAATTTCTACTTGCTTTAAAGGTAATGACAGAACAAAGATTGCCATAGAATCATACTAATTATATAAAACTGAATATTCAAGACTAAAATAAATTTATGTCTGCAATATTATGTTGGTAGATAATGGGTAAGTATGAAGCAAATGAAGATGATAGAATGCTACTACTAATCCTTTGAACAACTATCATTACACAACTTGTCAAGGTCTCATATGTGGGGATACAACTTAGCTTTAGCATGACAAAGGGTCCCAAATAAGTTGTGTTCCCATACATGTACATTCCAAATCTTGAAAAAGCCTGCAACAGAAAGCTGACATGGCCTGAAATTCAGGTAAAAGCCTCATGAAAACAACTGGCATTCCAGCATATATCATCAATTGTGAATTATTTTTCAAGATCACTGGGATTTCAGCAATTTTTTAAATGTTTGTAGTGTGTGTTACATTTACAGGTATAAGCATGACGTACAAGCAATTTCAAGTTTTGTAAGCCAATCCATGAGCAGAACTGAAAAGTAACTGAGTATTAAAATCAATGGATAAATCAATAAAGAGACTTTACACCTCTTTTCTCAAATTCAAACCTCACTATATGTTGTCTACATAGTAGCCCTACTATAAGAAGCGCTTATAAGAATTAGGCATACACCTGTATGAACTCACAATGGGGGAACAATGCTGTATATATACATCAGTGGTTGCCATAAAATCCCATTGTAGTGTTCTCTAAAAGATCATTTTAACAAGTTGAGACCATTTAACAATCTAAACTTCTAAGAGACCATTTTAATCTCAGTAGTGAAATGACACTTCATTGGTAAAATCCTTTTTTTGTGATGTGTGGTTGAACTTCAAGTGTTTTACCTCGTTACTATTAGCATGGTAGAGACGCACATTCTGATCTTTGCCTGCTGTAGCATACATATCTCCCTGAAGACTGAAGTCTAAAGCGTTGATCTCATTACCGCCCTCTATAATACAATCAAATCATAATCATTATCACTTACAACAATCCTGTTGAATTACAAAGACATTGTATTACTACCTCTCTCTCTTTAATTCAAATCTCTCTACAGTTTTACCTAAAATGACATTTGACCTTAATTAACCATCTCCATAACACTATCAAATCAGATATTGATTGATCTCATTAAATCTCATTATGATGCAATCAAATCAGATATCATTTGAGCTTATTAAATCTCATTATCAATCAATAGCTTACCAACGAATGTATCAATACGTTTGTTTGTAGCGGTGTTCCATAGTGATATAACTCCATCGGAGCCCGCTGTGACGAGTACATCTTGCATTCCAGGATGGAAACTAAGACACATTACTGGCAGTGTAGCTCGGTCACCTTGGCTTAACACATGCTGTAATGCCCCGGTCTTGCTGTTAAAAAGCTGCAGATTTAAAGAAAAGTTAGATTTTTTATATTTTAAAACAAGAATCAAGCACAGCATAACTTGCATTTTCATATGATTTCCATGACCAAGTCCACTAAGGCTATAAAGTCACTACCAAAATTAAACATCCAAAAATTAAGACTTGAGCGAGTGGTATAAAGGGTTGACGCAGCTCTTATGTAACTAAGTTTTTAGATCAAGTTCTTCTAGTTTATCCTTCTATTGCTTGTTTTTATTACAACATCTTTTACGTCCGTGCAAACAGCTCTTAAATTGATCTATCATGTCGTACATTTGAAGCCAAAAGGGCGTTAACTCTGTGTTAAAGTATATGAGTTTACAACCTTCACGCTCCAAACAGACTCTGTTACCTTGATTCCTCCATTGCCTGTTCCCACTGCTAGAACGTCACCATCATGTGAGAACTGTAAGCTGTACGTTCCCATAGCTGCATCATCTAGCTCGATAGAAACAAGCTCTTTCACCTGTGTGAACACACCAGCACTCTTCTTCTGCTCTGAATCAATAGCCCGTCCTGTACGGATGGCCGTTTCTAGACGTCTTCTTGCCATGATCAAAACTGCAAACATACAAAGTTTCAACACCCTAAGTATACTTGAATGGAAACCAAATAGAAACATGGAGATGATTCAATAAGAATCGCATTCAAGTACTCTTCATCAATATACCTTCAAAGCTAAAAGTAATATTGAACTTAGACTGAAAGCTTCACCGCTTCAGTCTCTGATATCGACGGTTGTTCTGCTGAGACTACGATCTGGCTCTACTGACTACCACTACTGGCACTAGTGTATGGGGAAGGTTGACATGTACTGTATGTCAGCTTTAATAAAGAATTCCCCATCCCAGGCGGTTACTTCTGTATATATTGAACTGAGCTAGTGTGCTACAACTACAAAAGATGCACATAGAGTATGTTAATATTTGTCATGGATCGTATAACTTCACAGAGTATCCACAGAAATACATCTTATTTTTTCCTGAACAATGACTCAGCCTTGCCTAAAACTTTAAGAAAATGTTAGTATAGCGGGTCTACAATCTTTTTCATCATTTGTTTCGAAATTCAGATCAGTCAGCTGCAAAATCAAGATTTGCATTAGTTATTGCATCATGAATTTAAGGACGCTTTAGTTTTTCAAAGTCAAACATTAGTGCACAATAGTGCACAAATACGATTTGCTCCTTGGCAACTGAGATACCACGCACCAATCGCGTGACCAAATTCTATTCGGCGCGACCGAATTCTGGTCAGAAAAATGCTCCGTCTTTTTTCGGAAGTATTTTGCTTTTCATCATTCTATATTTTATAAAATCCTGTTGAAGGAACAAATTTCTTTTCTTTTGATGGGTAGATTGCTAAATAAACGAGGTAAGAATTCAAACAAAGTATTAGTCTATGCATTTTTTAAAAAAAGTTAAAGACTAAACTTTCAGACACATAGTCTAGGCCTACAGATGTACATGATAGAATTTTGGTTTGTTTGACTCTTGACTCATTCTCTTTCTCAATCTCCCTTTTCTAGAGCTTTTATTTTTTTCTACTATTTTCCTCCATTCATTTTTTTTTTTCTTTTCTTTTCTCTTCTTTTTCTTCATTTTTTTCTTCTTTTTTTCCTTCTTCCTAGCTACATATTGTCTGTTTATTGATCTATAACTAAGCATAGACCTCTAGTCTACTTTGTTGATGTTTTATTGTAAAATTTGCATCTGAGGAACTAACACTTTAACAAGCTCTGCTTCAAGTTAGTTCCTCTTTTCTTGTGCTATTTCCACTATATTTATCGTTTCATTGCATATTTGTTGTGATATAATTATTTTTGTATTATGTTTTGCATGAGAAATAAAATCATTTTGAATTGTTTTCTTTCTGAAGTGAGTGGGCGCTCTCTACCCTCGCTCGCGCGCCTATAGACTAGAAGTCTAGTCATGAAAATGTCACCCGCAGCCGATCTTTGAAGTTGAACTTGGCATCTCTGATATCTAGGTCTAGCGCATTTCATCCGACATCGAATTGATCACCAGAATTCTTTTAATAGTGATTTTTTTAGTTTGAATCAGGGCTGTCAACCCTCCCTGCATTTGGAGGGAGTCTCGCGCCAGCACCACACTCATTCTCCCTAACTCCAGGGAGCTCTCTCCCCCTGGCCCTGTACTGTCCCACCAGCTCGTACTACTACTACTAGACTAGTCGGACGTAGCAGGAGACTTCCGCAACCACGCCATTCCAAATTACAACAAGATCATGAAGATGGAGTTAAGATAACCACACTCAAAGCCATCTAATATCATCATATAAATATTAATCATCAGATTAGCTCCTTACCAATTGTTTATTTGGAGCAGAAAGAATGTCAAACTTCCCAGAGGTCATGCATAGCCATAGGAGCGCAGCCGTACGCGTACACACTAGACCTAGTAATGTAGTACTGCATGTAAGTTGCATAGGCCTGCTACATGCTGGTATGGCAATGTTTACAAACAATCAACGCGTACGCGCGGGCTGTCCAGCTTTTGGCGTAAAAATCATCAAACTCATGAATAATAAATACCAAACGTAGAAGTTTAGTCTGCTGTCTGCTACCTTCGCCATTCTGTCAGAAGTGTTTTCTCCTGTGAGAGGTTGTCCCGCTTTTTTCTGCATGACTACCCAGGGGCGGATCTAGCTTTTTGCTAAGGTGGGGGAGGGGGGGGGGGGCCAAATTTGAAAAACGCGCCGACTAATAATTTGCTCAGTGGGGGGGGGGGGGGGGGGGGGGGGGGTGGGGGTGGTAGTGAGTGAGCATTATAAAAAAAAAAAAAAAAATTGCCCCCCGAAATTTGAAAAAGTGCAGGCCATATATTTCAGGGGGGGGGGTTCAACCCCCTAACCCCTACATCTATTGTAGTGCTTTTACCCCCCCCCCCCCTAGATCCGCCCCTGCTACCCCACCTAACCTCCAGTTCGCCCCGGGTTGGCCTATACCCACTTCTCACCATCCCATGTAAGACCTATTATTTGCATAAAAACTGTAACGAAGAGATCGAGTGTTTCTTTGATGGTATCATTGTTGATACTTGATGATTTTTTTTTCTTCATGAAATGCCCCCCCCCCCCTTCCCCACTCCGTTGTCGATCGGAGAGACCGCATTCGTGTTCCCAAATATCTCTGGTATATATAAAGGGGTACTTTAGCTTTTGTTATGTCCGTTTCTAGACGTATGAGATGGTCTAGAGTATTTCTTCCTGTCTTAAAACCACTTTGTATGGGCCCGGGGTTCATAATTATTATACTTTCAAACGACCAGTTTAACCGGTCTAGTATCAATCCTCCATTATTTTGTAAAGTAATAAAGTGAGAGATATAGGGCTATGATGAGGGATTGGACGGTTTCGAATCCCTTTTTGGAATTGGTACAAGGATTGCACGAAGCCATTGACGTGGAAGTTTAGGCTTTGTCCATATTCTATTTAATAGATTTTAGGAGAGTGAGCTGAGAAGTGCTGGGTAGCTCAGAAATCATCGACAAAGTAATCTCATATTGTCCTGGGGATGAATAATTGTTTGACCTTGCACTTGCACTTTTAAGTCCGTGAATGAAAAAGGGCTCGTCCATTGATGTATTTAATGTGGATTCATCAAGTTTCCTATTCAGACTGGAGTCCAGTCGAGACAATTTTTGTTGAGACATGATTGGATTTTCACTTGACTCAGCAAATACTTTTGCAAGAAGGTTTGCCTTCTCCTTATCATCTGTTATTTCTACGTTATAGTGGTCGACAAAACATGTATTTCTTTTATCAAGGTTGATTAATGGGAATTGATTTCACGAATCTTTTTAAACAAGGGTAAACGGTTTATTTGTAAGCAGAAGGTCTTCCAATGAAGTACCTTTGCTTCCCTAATTTGTATGTTTAAAATGCCTTTACTCTGTTCAGTTACTATTTGCACTATGTTTTCCAACTCTTTTTCTGCTTTTGTCAGATATATTACTTTTAAAGTAATGATGTAAGCCAAAAACTCGACAAAACTGTTTTTCTTTTCAATGCTGGTTCAAGGGCTTTGGAGGGACATGGTGTTCTCTTTATTTTGGATTTGGACGCATTCCTGTGTCCGATCCTGATGGAACATTGGGGTCATTCACATGGTCATGATCGTTACCTTGGCCTTGGGTTGGTTGAGTGGTTCTTAGGGTGCGTTCAATCGAATTTTCGAAGCTAGAATCACAAACATGAATCACAAATCAAAACGCCGTTACAAAAAACAAGGTCACTGCGGTTAGCGTTCAAGCGATTTTTCATCAACGCTGATTCTAGCTCATTTCGAGCCCAGCCACTGCGGATCACACTCGCAGTTTGACCCAGGAAGTATAGGTCAACTTCGGCGCGCGCTTTTTGGAATTGTTTACGGCCGACTGTCGACTGCTGTTTTGAGCATAGATAGCAATAATAAAACAAAGAATGAGAAGGTGATGGAAGGAAGAAACAAGAAATAACATAAGGAAAGACAGAAAGAGAAAGTGATAGAATGATTTAAACAAAGAATAACATAAGAGAAAGTGATAAAATTATAAAAACAAAGATAACATATAAGAGAAGGTGATAGAAGGAAGGAACAAAGAATAACATAAGGAAAGACAGAAAGAGAAAGTGATAGAATGCTTAAAACAAAGAATTACATTAAAAAAGCTGATAGAAGGAAAAGAACAAATATTAACATAAGGAAAGACAGAAAGAGAAAGTGATAGAATGCTTAAAACAAAGAATTACATTAAAAAAGCTGATAGAAGGAAAAAAACAAAGATTAACATAAGAATATAAGGAAGAAACAAAGAATAACAAAAGAGAAAGTGATAGAATTATAAAAACAAAGAATAACATAAGAGAAGGTGATAGCAGGAAGAAACAAAGAATAACATAAGAAAAGACAGAAAGAGAAAGTGATAGAATGATTAAAACAAAGAATAACATAAGAAACTGTGATAGAAGGAAAAAAAACAAAGATTAACATAAGAATATAAGGAAGAAACAAAGAATAACAAAAGAGAAAGTGATAGAATTATAAAAACAAATAATAACATAAGAGAAGGTGATAGAAGGAAGAAACAAAGAATAACATAAGGAAAGACAGAAAGAGAAAGTGATAGAATGATTAAAACAAAGAATAACATAAGAAACTGTGATAGAAGGAAAAGAACAAAGATTAACATAAGAATAGAAGGAAGAAACAAAAAATAACATAAGGAAAGACAGAAAGAGAAAGTGATAGAATTATAAAAATAAAGAATAACATAAGAGAAGGTGATAGAAGGAAAAAAAACAAAGAATAACATGAGAATAGAAGGAAGAAACAAAGAATAACATAAGGAAAGACAGAAAGAGAAAGTGATAGAATTATAAAAATAAAGAATAACATAAGAGAAGGTGATAGAAGGAAAAAAAACAAAGAATAACATGAGAATAGAAGGAAGAAACAAAGAATAACATAAGGAAAGACAGAAAGAGAAAGTGATAGAATTATAAAAATAATGAATAACATAAGAGAAGGTGATAGAAGGAAAAAAACAAAGAATAACATAAGAATAGAAGGAAGAAACAAAGAATAACATAAGGAAAGACAGAAAGAGAAAGTGATAGAATGCTTAAAACAAAGAATTACATTGAAAAAGCTGATAGAAGGAAAAAAAACAAAGATTAACATAAGAATAGAAGGAAGAAACAAAGAATAACATAAGAATAGAAGGAAGAAACAAAGAATAACATAAGGAAAGACAGAAAGAGAAAGTGATAGAATTATAAAAATAATGAATAACATAAGAGAAGGTGATAGAAGGAAAAAAAACAAAGAATAACATAAGAATAGAAGGAAGAAACAAAGAATAACATAAGGAAAGACAGAAAGAGAAAGTGATAGAATTATAAAAATAATGAATAACATAAGAGAAGGTGATGGAAGGAAAAAAACAAAGAATAACATAAGAATAGAAGGAAGAAACAAAGAATAACATAAGGAAAGACAGAAAGAGAAAGTGATAGAATGCTTAAAACAAAGAATTACATTGAAAAAGCTGATAGAAGGAAAAAAAAACAAAGATTAACATAAGAATGGAAGGAAGAAACAAAGAATAACAAAAGAGAAAGTGATAGAATGATTAAAACAAAGAATAACATAAGAAACTGTGATAGAAGGAAAAGAACAAAGATTTACATAAGAATAGAAGGAAGAAACAAAGAATAACATAAGGAAAGACAGAAAGAGAAAGTAATAGAATTATAAAAAATAAAGAATAACATAATAAACTGTGATAGAAGGAAAAGAACAAAGATTAACATAAGAATAGAAGGAAGAAACAAAGAATAACATAAGGAAAGACAGAAAGAGAAAGTGATAGAATTATAAAAATAAAGAATAACATAAGAGAAGGTGATAGAAGGAAAAAAACAAAGAATAACATAAGAATAGAAGGAAGAAACAAAGAATAACATAAGGAAAGACAGAAAGAGAAAAAGAGGAAAACAAGGTATAACATAACGGAACAGGCCATGATAAAGAGCATGGTATAGTAAACGCAAATTGCATGAAAAGCAGGCGCGCGGTTTTTGCCCAAACCGGAACAGGCTCCGTCATACAATCATGATTGAAAACTCCGTCCGTTCAATCGAATTTTAGCGACCGTGATTATGCAGAATCATGATACAAAACGCATCTTTTTCAGCGTTTCATGTTTGTGTTTTTAAACACGTTTATTTTTACGACCGACGAAAAGATCGCTTGAACGCATTGCGTTTTAAACTAAACGTCTTTAGAAACCGTGATTCTAGGGTGAAAAAGTGTCGATTAAACGCACCCTTAGTCACAATCGGCTCAGTAGTAACATTATCAATGGGTTGATTTATGGTTGGGTTTCTTTAATTGGATACTTATCTATTTTGGAGCTGTAGCATTCAAAACGGGTTTTGTTTTGATTTGTTTAGCTGCTTCAACATCATAGGAAAGGTTTTGGTCACTTTTCACTTTGAGAATTTCTTTTTCGTTCCTTGTACTTTGGTCACCCTTGATAAGACATTTTGTTTTATAGTCAAATTTTGAGATAGAATATCTCACACTTAGGCCCCCTATTTAGCCTATGCCTGAGTTACCTATCCCGCCAAAAAGTCAGCGTACCGTAATGTAATTCGTTGAGTGATGGCATCGTATAGACAAGGGCAGGACAAGCAATATTGGCAAAAATCATCCAATGGCGATGGAAACAACAACAACAACAACATCTATAGTGGGGGAGCGTGGTCAATTTGTGAGTTGCGGGGGGGGGGGGGGGGGGGGGGGGGTAAGCGGACACTTTTTTTTTTTTTTGGTCTCGAAATTTCAAAATTTGACATTTTTCTTCGTTGGGGGGGGGGGGGTAAGGTCACCTTTTTTAGGTTAGCCGTGGGTATAATTTTTTTTTTTTTTTTTTTTTTAATAAAAAAAAAAAAAAAAAAAAAAAAAAAACCAAAGGGGGGGGGGGGGGGGTTTTAGGTTTTTTTTAGGGGGGTTTACACACAGAAAATACCAAAGGGGGGGGGGGGGGTTTGAACCCCAAACCCCCCCCCCCCCCCTGCGTACGCCCCTGGCCTCACTAGAATGTTTTCAAAACCATTCTTAACACTTTCTGGTAGTGACTTGTCTTCGAATATTAGTAACATTGACATTGTCATTCCTAGGCAGAGAATTTATAGGCTTACTTTTACCGTTCCGTTTGTCAGACCAATAGCTAATTCTACACATGTGATAATCCTTTTCATATATCATATCAAACTTTTCTTAGTTTTTACATCATGTAAACATTACTCAGAACGTGCTACTAAGTTGGGGCAATATACTGTCTTAAATAATTAAAGGTAATACAAAGTTTTGGTATGGGGTCATGAATTTGGTTCAAATGGAAATATTTGAAACATTATGCGATCCAACAATATTCAGTTATCTTTGTCGCGGTTGAAATCGAGTCTAAAGTTATGAAATTGTAAATAAAACACTCTTTATGTTGTATAGCTCCCTCTCAAGGTCAAGATATTAATTAAGCTATAAAGCAATGTTTCTTGACTAAAATCGACCGACTAGCTATTCCCGTTTAGAAGTTATATATCACAATTACATATTCTGATATTATCGCGGTCGCAGCTACCATTGTACAGCAGTAGGCGCTATTTAAAATTCATCAAAGTTTACCGGGAGCACCGGTAAATTTTTATATTCAATTTTTCTCGAAAGCAGTTAGGGGCTAAATTTTAGTGGTTATAATACATTCACAGCAGGGGCGTAGACAACGGGGGGATAAGGGGGATGCATCCCCCCCCCCACCTCACAACAGGGGGGGGGGGGATGGCATGTACAATCATCCCCCCCCCCCAGGTTTTGGGGAATGATATTTGCTTACTTAATAATGATGATAATAATAGTAATAATAATAATGATAACAATTATAATATAAATAATAATAATAATTATGATGATGATAATAATAATCCTCATCATTATTGTAATTGTGTTTATTGTTATTAGCCGCATTCACACGGTGAAAGCCAATTCAGACGGTAAAAAAAGAGAAAATATTACAAGTATTTGTGGTTATCTTGTGTTTTGGAAACCACAAGATAACCACAAGATTAAACAGGCGCGGATCTACGGGGGGTTTAGGGGGTTTAAACCCCCCCCCTCCCCTTGGGCGGCCCAAAAAACAAACAACAAAAAAAAAGGGGGGGAAAAAGAAGAAGAAAAAAAAGAAAAAAAGAAAGAAAAAAGAACGCACGTTGGAGAGAAACTGAGAAACCCTTTCAAGTGCAAATATTGTGAGAAGATATTTAACTCATCTGGTAACTTATATAACCAAACATGATAACTCTGGATATAACTGTGTATTTAAGTGTTACTTGATTTAAAAAGACGTTATCATGCATTGCTTTTTATGGTCTCCATTGTGTTAATAGATGCCAGGAAAAAATCACTTACGGGGTTCAAATAAACACCCCCCAAAAAAATCGGATCGCCGCTTTGCGGCTCGTGGACGATGCTCCGCATCGTCATTATTGGTCAACCCCCCCTTAGCAAAAAGCTAGATCCGCCCCTGAGTCATCCCCCCCCCCCCCCAGGTGTACGAACCTGTCTACGCCACTGATTCACAGGGGCATCCAACTATATCAAAATTGTAAAGAATCACTATCCACCCAATTTTCAAAATTTCCCAAAACTTTGTATATATTTTGTTATCATTGTGATATTATTGTCATAAGGAAAATGACGACTGTTAATTATTTCGGTAAATTTCTGCTATGATTTAAATGAAATGCCATCCAAATGGACAGAGAAAATGCATTTTGCTTGCAAGCTCATGAATATTCAGCACATGCAGTATGGCACTTTTTATTCATGACTGCCTTTTTTTACGCCAGAAATAATTGCTGCAGAGCCGTGGGACCGCATACGCGCGTACGTACGCGTTACCGTGCGCTATCCATGGATTTTGAAAAGGAAAAAAATGTTTTGGACGAAACCTGTGAAGACATTTGAAATGGTAAATTACCAGAAATCGGAATATGTGTTGTGAATGTGTGTATCTAGTCAATAGAAGAGAGTTTTTACTGATACTTAACCAGGTACGAATATATTTTAGTTGACATTTAGAAGTCAGACTAAAGACTAAAGTATCGTCATTTTAAGGAATCGGATTTCAACGGCCACAGATACTAGAAGACAGCACAGCCACAGCACAGGTTACAGTGTTTACGACGAGCTGCAGGCCAGGCCAGGAAGGCCTCGTATCGGCCCACCCTCCAGGCGTCCAGACTGGGCGTGCTTGATATGTCATCCTCGACGAGCGTGATGTCAGTCGTGCGGGTGATTGAAGCAAAGTCACGAGTGCATTAATTATACTTTTGCGTGTTTGATATTTCAATTTCATTCACAAACAGTGAACTGACTGTACGCCTGAAATTCCACTCTTTGGGTTAACTTTAACTCTAAATTTTGGAGTATTTTGAAAGAGAAAATGAAGCAGAAAAACAAATCAACGCCAGCGTCAGCGAGGCAACCAGAGAGCCCATTCCTCCCTCAAAAGAGAATAAGTGACAGGTGGGTAGATCTACATATATCTTTTGCTTTATGTTCTTGTGTTTAGTAAACAATGTATAAACTAAATGAACTTGTGGTAAACAACAACAAATATGTACAAAATCAAAGACCAAGACAAGAGCATGAAGAGTAGACTCATTTTCTGAGCAATTTATGAACCTTTCATTTACTATTTAGCACAAAATAAGTGCCACAGAAGTTAGAGGTCCAATATTAGACCAAATTTTCTGTCTCTTTCGTTCGTTAAGCCTCTTATTTGGGTAGGGTTGGCTCTCTCTTTAAAGGTAAAGACCAGTTATGGTCATGCGATTGCATTGTGAAAGAAACGTGGAATCGATCAGAAAAGGTTGATCATCTAGCATCTAGCGTCTGCAAGGTTCTGGAATCATCAAAATGATAAGAAATTTGGCCCATTCTTCGTAAAGTTACAAGCACTATACACAGAAAGATGTAACTATATGGGACTACCCTATATCTCTCACAGACCATGAGAGAAACAAATTTACCAAATATATGAATTAGTAGGCGGTTTCCCGGCAAATTTTTTATCATCATGTATTGGTCAAAACATATTCTTTCACATGATTGGTAATGAGAGCTTCCATTTCATTTTTTGAAATTGGGGCATTTCCAATACTGGTCTTTACCTTTAAAGAGAGAGCCGACCCTACCCAAATAAGAGGTTAAAGAGAGAGCCGACCCTACCCAAATCATGAAATAAGAGGCTTAACGAACGACAGAGACAGAAATTCGGTCTAGGCCTAGACTAGTCCAATATTAGACGTGCGCAAGCCAAGGTACGCTCATTTTGCACTAATTTTTAAACCATGGGTTATGTAAATGAGGGTTTAAACTTTAAACCATGGTTTAAAATTAAACCTTCTTTGTGAATTTGGGCCAAAGTGTTGTTGGCCCTAAACATTTGATGGCAAAAAATTCATTTAAATTGTATCGTAATGTGAAAGAGGATGCCATTTTAGACACTTTCTGCAAGAATTTTCAGAGCAAATATGTTTGAAGTCTATATTATGGATGACAAAATACAAAATTTAGGTTTCTACAACAGAATACCGTATCCAAATAGTGTTTTTTCTTGTCTTCAAACACATTTTTTTTCTACAAATCTTTGTAGAAGTGTGTCTTAAATGACTTCCTCTTTCACATTAAGATACAATTTAAGTGAAATTTTGCCATCAAATCTTTGGCAAATTTGGGGCTCCCAACAATTCAGAGGGGCTTTAATGTACATGTATTAATCAATGGAAATCTTGGTATTGTGGTTAAGTGATATGTGGGAATTTATCCAGAGTTGTGATTATTATTTTTATGATCTGACAGAAAATTATCAAAAATCAATTTTTTTTGGAGGGGGCCTAGCCGTGACGAGCGAACATTAAAAATAAAGAGAGAAAAAAGTAATGGGGACAAAGATACAATGTACACTTTAACTTGTTGCATTACTTTACAAGTTTTGCTTGGGAATTAAATGATTAGTGGTGTGATATGACCTGAGGACATATTATGTAACTGAATGATGGGATCAGGGACCCATTTCACAAAGCCTTTTTTCAGTGACAAATGACAAAAATCAGTGACAAATCTGCTGATAACCAATCAGAAGCAAGGATTTCAGTAGCTTATGACAAAGACTGTCATTTGTCAATGATGATAAGTTTTGTGAAACTGGCCCCAGATCATCAGATGTTATGAACACTTAACCCCTGTTTGTCATTAAAAAGTACAGGTAAACTAAGAACTTGATACATGTACATGTAGGTACAAGTGTAGTACATACACCTGTATACATGTACAAGGTCCGTCAGTACATCACTTCATTTACAGACAAACATAGAGCTTCATGTACTAGAAGATGATAAGAGCAGAAGAAAATTAAGATGAAATACATTATATCAATTTTGTTGTAAACTTGTAATCATGTATATACCTACACACAACTATAGAAAAAAAATAACCTACATTTACACGTACCGGTAGGCCTACTACACTGTACATGTACACATTACAAATTTATAGTTAGCTGTGCACATGATATTGTGAGTAGGCCAGTGCTGTACAGTATGTGTAGTTGATCAAGTCACTAGAAGTACCTTCTCATCACCTTGTTGACTGCATTTCAGGGCAATTATGACATCATACATGATGTCACTTCCTTGCTTTCCAAGTAATGCTTCAAACACTGACTAATTGGTAGGAAGTGTGAGCGGAGCTTGGCTAGCTTGTCAACAATCAGAAAGGAACCGTATTCTTCAAACTTCATTACAGAGTAGAGGAACTGCCTAGTTAGACTTAGAATTAGAATGTCCACATGTGCAGACTAAATCTGAATACATCTACATGTATGCATTGACCTGTAGAAATGTTTGTGTACAGTAACTTAGGGCTTAGCAATAACAGGCATACAGTGTACATTAATAAGGGATCCTACATGTATGTTCTAATTTCAGATCTCAAAATTAAAAATTTACTAGGGGGCCCTTCCGTATACACCAGTTGTTAAATGTAAGCCCAAATTCTATGTGAGAAAGAAAAAGTTTATGTAGAGCCCTTCCTTCAATACATTTCAATTTATTCTTGATTTAAGTGATAGCATTTGAGCTTCTTACATGTACATACATGGAGCTCTGTATGGTGTTGTACTCATCATACAGTCAATGTTTTTTTTTTTATAATTAAAAAAAAGAGTTTATTTTAAATATTATTTAGTCTATAAATTAGATGTAACAGTAATGGCTCATTTGGTGTGTATGGAATCCTTTAACAATTTTCACAGCTCTAAGGGAAAGAAGTTATTTTATAGAGCAGTGAGACTTGTTCACTAGTACAGAGGCAACTTGCATTTAATGATATCTGGCTACAGTCTTTGGCTATTTATAGCAATATAAAATGACTTGCATGTGAGGAAAAGGATGTTTAGCTTCCTACAGTATTGGAAAGGTACAACTAGGCCCTAGGTACAACCTGACTCGCACTGTACAGTCTAACTGAACACAGTATTGGTACATGTTCAAACTTCAAAGATCTACCTGTAGACAAATCTGAAGAAATTCTTTATATGTTTTTGACAGGAAATAATTACATAGTTCTACATGAAGACCAAATTGTTGTCGTACTGATGTTGTACTCATCATGAAGTCTTTTTTTTTAATGTTTATTTTAAATATAATTTAGTCTACAGTATTAGCAAATGCAAAATTAGGGTTATTGACTATTGTTGGACATGCTGAAGTAGAGTAAGAGTTAGTGTTGAGGCTTGTTCACGTGTGCTAGGTTTTATTTGGGTTCTTGTTTTAAAGCATACTTCACTTCACATTTTCATATGGTATGAGTAAACCTTTGTTGTACTCATAATTTGTACTGTAATTTATCCATAGTACTTTAATAGAAGAAATACATTAACTGAATATGCAGGTAAGGTCTTATGTGCAAAAGACTGCAACTGAAACGGCTGTGTGTGTTTTTATTTTTTTCTGCTGTGTGAATGGGCACTATAAAGAATCGTGATCACATCATATCTTGCTTTTGTGCATGTTTGTGTGAATGAGCCTAATTAGGCCTCTTAGTGATGATGGAGACTACAAATATGTGTTCATGATGATTTGTAATGACACACTGATATATTAGCACCCAGATTAAAGGGGTCTGCATTCTCAATCAACAGGATTTCCGTACATATCAGTCAAAAGTGGGTAAGGTGCTGTTTTTTCAGGATACTTTATTGATTTATTGATTTAAACCATATAAGTAGGCCTACATGTGTATGTACCGTACATGTAAGATGAGACCCCAGACTGAAAAAAAGTGAATTTCCTGGAAATGTGCCCAACTCTCTTTGAATGTACTGTACCTCTCATACCTATATATTATGGGTTGCAGAAAAATTGAAATGCAATGTAACTCAAACCCTACAGTTCATTGTACAAATATATGGATACATCATCTCAGACATATTGTCCTGTAAGTTAACTGTACCATACAGGTGTACATTATTTAATATCAACAAGTTTGAGAGCAGAAGCATTGAAACCTGTCCTTTATTTATGTTGTGCAAACATGTCTCATGTACACATACAGTAGTAATGTTCTCTGGTCCTTGACATTATTTTGATATATTTCAAACATGGAAGTGAAGTTCATTGTATTGCATTGTGTGTGTAGAGGGCATATTTACATTATTACCACACACATTGGTGACATGTCTACATTCATGATATATCTTGTGACCTGTCTCTCCTTTGATGACGTAGGGTGTCTAGTAATAATCCAGCATGACTTCCTAAGTGAGGCAGGGCTCAATTCCTGTTCAAGTTGTGATCAATGCCCACAGAAGGCACAGATGATCATATCATTTTTGTCCCTGTAATCTGTACATGTCTTCATTGTACATTACCATATGTCTCATTACATGTCTTTTTCATCTTCTCTCTTGCTCTTTCTTTATGTATTTGTGTGTGTTCTGTTTCTCCCTATCTCTTTCTCTCACTCTCTCTTTCTCTTTCTCTTTCTCTTTCTCTTTCTCTCTCTCTCCCTCCCTCCCCATCCACCTCCTACCCACTTGTCTCTGAAAAAACATTTATATCTTATTCTCTTGAGATCCTTTTAATTCCTCTTTCATTTTAATAATGACAAACAAGAAGGTTCATACATGTACATGTATTCATGCCTTCATGGAGACTAGACGCTCCATATGTTAAATGGGAATGTCCCATATTTCAGTTATTTGTTCAATTGCTGAGTCTATTGCTCATTTAGACAGTTTTCACACCCATTAGTTTGGTATTATTTCATGGTCATAGAGCAAGAATGTGATAGGTTTGCTAGTCAACTATAATTGTTTACTCTTCGGCTCATTACACACACAGTGTTTGCATTATATTGACTATCCTCATTGACTATCCTCATACAAGTACATATTTATTCATAATATTGCAGTCAGTAAATATACTAGTGATCTGAAATGGTATACAGGAACCCATTTATTG